ACACACATGCTGAAGGTTTAGTTCCAAGGCCTAATTAAAACATTACATGCGAGGATGTTTTTTCCAGTTTGAGCGCGTCTTCGTAACCGATTTTTACACACGGACAAGGGGCCCTTGCTAATCACACACTCCCTCCACAGTTAACCACTGCTGCGTCGTCAGTGGGCAGACCAACCTGCATGCCTCAGACAGTAGCCAAAAAAAAAATCCAAACGCGTAACAGTTTTACACACCAAAACCTTTTACACAATCCACCAAAGTATTTTAAAACTGTAACACACAACTACTCTTACTTGGAAGCCACAATGGGTCCCAGATGCAGGAAGAGTGAGCTGGTCATCCAGCTGGGAGCAGATTTCTGGTTATTTCTGTTCGCTCCGTGCTGCGGAGAGGACTGTGGCTGGGGGCGGGATCGACAGGTCTCTGCCTCTTCAGCGGGAACTACACATCGCCTTGGCCAGCTTGAGGGAAGCTGGACGGTTCAGACTTCAGGAGGTTGTGAGCAAATTTTGGGGGTGGGGGGGAAACTGGGCGCCAGAAACACACTTTCCACCAGCTCCATCTTCTTTGAAGGAACTGAAACGTTAAGTTCTTTATATCCCGGGGTTAGAAAGAATCAGTGCGTTTCAAGACGCAATAAAAGTAAAAGGTACACAGTCACGCGTAAAACTACCCATTTACATCACAAAATAGGTCCAATTTCCAGGTATGCCCAGCACCGTCTTGGGCGATCCAGGAAGAGGCAACAAGACTTCGGGTGACGTGTTGTGGCCATATGACATTGTAAAGAAGCCGGCCTGTGAATACGTCTCTTTTAATCCAATCCAAATATTACTTTCAATTTCAAGACTGTTTTGCCAACAAATACTGCTTGTTAACTCTACAGGCAGATCATGTTGGAACACTGCTGTGGTGAGATGTCTGCCGCACAACCTGTGTTTATTCGCTCGTACATCACATCAGTCATCACAGTGACTAGTGAGCAGGAAGGGCCGCATCACGTCACAATCCGTGGGAACTCGAATGCCAGTTTGCGACAACATCGCGACTTACAGTACTTTCGCAAAGTTCACGATTTTGTGCTTAATCTGAAATCTTATATTTAGTTATCTGACTTTTTTTTCCCCCAATTGGTGGTTCTAAAATGATTGTTTAACAGAGCAAGGCAACTTAAGTACACACCACAACTTGTCAATTAACAAAACAAAATCTGGCATTTAGATGCTCTTACAAAACGCAGCACAGTCATCGACAACTGGAATTCAACTGCAATAGCTTTGCTGCAATTTCCCCATTACAGTTTTGCAACACTCAAGTTTTTCTACAGTCTGTTATGTTGATACTTCCTGGTAACCATTGTAATATTTGAACAAGATGAAAAGTATGGTCTTTTTGTAATTGTTGTAATAATGCCTTTTAGATTTTCACCCTGATTTTATTTAAGAGACTTGGGTGAATTTTTTCTGCTGCTACCTGAGGGATACTGTGGTAGTCTGTTAGCAAGCTAAAGTTACACAATCACATGGAAGGCACTGATTCTTGGTCATTACTGTTTATCAGAACGACAAATTTCAGTTCATGCCTTCGTGTTTGAAGGAGACAAATGTTTCAAATCAGATTTTCCCTTGGTAAAATCTGTTCTAGCCCAAACTTTAAAAATTAGTCCGACGTTAAAAAAAAAAGTACTGAGAAGTGTTTTTAAGATGTTTTTCACACTGCTACACGGATGGTGCCTGCTTAATTACTCTTGATTGATAAACGCCATAAAGTCCTTAAAAGCAGTTATTGAAACATTTTTTTTTCATCTTTCATTGAGTCAATTAAAGACAAATCGCAAAAACACTGACATTTGCAACATCAAAACCAACCATTAAGCTTAAGCCAATTAAGACCCCTCCCCCCTACTGCTTAACGCTCTCTCACTGCAGAACTGCTCGCTCACTCCATGACATTTAAAGTGCACGCAGTAAGGCTGGGCGATCCTCAGCCCTGGAGCACCGAGCTACAGATTTCCATTCCAACGCTGGACTGAAGGACCTCAGTGAGCTCATAACGGGCCCAACAGGACCAATCTAACAACCGCAGTGGTTTAAAGAGACCTAGAAAACCTGCAGACACACCGGCTGCCCCCCCCGCCCGCTCCCCTCCCCCAGGACCAACACTGCCCTACCCTGCCGGTGACTCGGGAGACAATTATTACGCAAGCGGTGCCGCCTCTTTCACAATGCGGAAAAGCCCCAGCCTGCCCCCGGAGCCGGGTTTCGCACGCTGCAGACAGGCAGCACATGAAGACGTTTAAAAACGGCCTTCCTGCTCCACATCACAGCAACGCGCTGCCAGGAACTCCCAGAACTGAGTATTTGGGTGGGAGGGGCAAACAAGGAACATGCCTAAACAGACGCAACCCCCATAGAAGTCACCTTCTCCCAACAGGAATGCTGTTCCTGATAGAGGTAGGTCTAGGAGACCAGCACAGAGTAACGCTTCACTATCGTTTCCATTTCGAGTATCAAAGTGGGGGGGGAATGTTTAAGAAGAAAAGTGAGGATTTGCTCCTACTCCCCTGCTAAAAGAATGAATTCCAAGGGCAGGTGCGACCTCCACAGCGGAGGGCCCAGGCTGTGCTGGTTTAACTCTACTGATGCCGAGGAAGAGCTGGTCCGCAACACAACCCACTGAAAACCCCCTTCCGTGAAATGTCTGCAAACATAATGCCAGTCTTCATCTAAAATTACACCCATGCAAATCACACAGCTTATGCAAACTTGAGCCTGTTAGGAATGCGTTTCAAGGACTGAGAGCTCAGTTAGCTTGTTGATTACCACACACCCTCTGCCAGCCCACCATGAAGCGAATCCCAGTCTAGGTCCCTGGGGTCTCGCACAACTGCTGCTTTTTGTTCCACCTGAGCACCCAATTGAGTAACTGAACCCTTTTAACAAGCCGGAGAGGTTCAGTCGAACTCTAAAGGCTTTCAGTTCCTAAACACGCAGGAGGTCGCCTTGTAACTACCTACCGTATCTCTCAAGCTCAAATCTCCCACCTTTGAGTGGGGAAACCAATTGCGAATGCTCTAACGAGGGAACGTGTCCGTGCCCTGATGGGGGTTCAGGGAAGAGCTCAGCTGCAATGGCAATGAATGCTGAGGGGGTACCCAGGACCGGGACTGGGAACCCCAGAACCAAAGCAGACATTCCCTGCACCTGCGGATTCGCCGTTTCGACAGGTTTCAGTCCAGGTGAGCTCCCTAATCAACGATGCCAACTAAAATCTTAATTAATCTTATTGCCTCTTGATCCATTTCTGCTCTAAGTCCCTGGGTTCCTAGATACTCGACTTCAAACACGTCCAGCACACACAACTTCAAGCAGGGGCTTCCGAATTTGGCTTGAAGAGGTTGCTGCCTTATCTTTGTCTAACTGGCTCTGAATATGAAATCAATTTACGACGAACAGACAAGCGCAGATCACACTTTATCAGACGCCCGCAAAGTGTTTTTTTTCCCCCTGGGGAAAAAAACAAAAAGGTAAAAACCAAAACAAAACCCCGAAGGAAGAAAACTTTGAACCGCCGGAAACCAAGCAAGGCCGAACCCAAAGAAAAACCCCAAGCAAAATTTTAAGAAGGGGGGAAAAAAAAGTCTCAAAGAGACAAAATCATTTAAATTATGATCAAGAAAGAGCACGACCACCCCGCCGGCTCCAGGACCCAAATCAAGTGCACAGTTTCAGTCAATAAACGTTCATGTGCACTGGGGAGAAACCAGCCCTCGTTGGAGAGGAGTCTCCGACGGGTCCTGTCAGATATCAACGGGTGAATCCCTCCTCAGTCGCGGAAATTCGTCATTTAACAAAAAAATACTTAAAACTACGTAGTGTCAGAGTGTGTCACGGTCCACAGTTTCAAATTACCGCCTTCATCTTGCTCATGAGACACACCCTAGGGCTGAAGATCGCCTATCAGGCTCAGCTGACGCTGAAGAGCATTAAAATCCAGAAATATTCGCCGTCGAAAATTTTGACGCCCTTTTCTTGTGAGGCGGTACCACAGCCTACAGAAAAGACTGAAAACTAACGCCAATTCGTGAAATAACCGTGAAATGTAAATTGGCCAAAGTGAAGCCTACAAGACTCAACTCCAAAACCAGGGAGGAGTTGAATCACGGCTCAGAAACGAACTCCGGTTACCCATGCGCCGGAAAGCGTTTCAAAACGGGTTTTCACAAAAATATTTTTTTTTGCAGAGCAATTCGCGCACAAGCACACCTACCGCGCCGGTGTCACTGTCAGGTTAGAAGAACACATCTAAATCCTGCGCACCGACGGTGCAAGAAGAAAGGCGACGCCAGACAATCGTCACGTTGTAAGGCTACAAGATGACAAGTCAACCGGACCGTGGCAGGAACGTCCCGCCTCTGAGCGCTGGTTCCGTCCTGGATGCACCCCGATACCGCCGTGTGGGGGGGTCCCCGACCTACAGTTCGTTTCTCCTACGACAACACGACTACAAAACCCGTCGGCGTGTCGTCCGCATCACGAAAAGTGGGCGCAGCGTTTCCACACACACACACACAAAAACAGCTGCCGCCAACAGCCCCACAGGGTCGCCCAGCTATGTAACAAACCACAACAGCCCCCACCCACCACCACCTGGACACCAACACACAACCAGCCCGTGCATCAGCACGCAGCCGGGGACACTGGGGACACTGGGAGAGGAGCTCGTCTCCGGCGAGGAGGCGTGAGCAGAGCCCCGAGAACCGGGCACCGAGCCCCTCGCCGTGCCGGAGAACAGCCGCGACACGCCGCGACCGGGCAGTCCCGACCCCGGGGGAGGAAGGAGCCGGGCAAGACGGAGCCCCAGTTCGTCTCCAGCCCCGGCTCACACCCACCCGGCCCGCCGGAGCCCCAGCACCGCCTCGCCGGAGCCGCTTTCCCCCGGACTGCCTCGCTCCCGCCCGCCTGCGCTCACCCGGCGAAATAACCCCCGAACTCACTCACTTTTCCTCTTCTTCTCCTTCTCCCGGCGTCTCTTTCACATAATCTCCCTCGGCCCCCGCCGTCTCTGCTCGCAGCTCCCCGCCCGACGACTCTGTCGGTGACCAAGAGAGACGACCTTTCACTCCGCTCCGCCTAAGTGGGGAAAGCGGAATGGTGGGAAGGATGGAGGACTCCCGCGGAGGACTCCCCCCCCCTCCGCGTCTCCGGGCGCCCCCTGGCGGCGGCAGCGTGTGCGCCAGGGCCTGCTGGACTGGACGGGTCTGCAGGTCAGCCGGCGTGCTGGTCGCTTACTAGTACCGTACGTACATGCACGCACAGTGATGACGTCTTCCAACGCCCCCCACAGTATTTATCCTCAAGAATACGCCGAGGTCGCTCAGCTGGGACGGGTGCGTCCCGTATCAGCTGGGTGGTACCGGATGGGAAAGGGACGTTTCTAGGAGAGGAAAGCCAGACGGGGTGTATGCAGCATTTGTTTATGTTTTTTGTTTTAAACATCACTTTTTTTTAAAGGGTTAATTTAAAAACAAAAAAAAAAAAAAAAAAGAGACAAAATATCAAAACGGATACAGAAATAGACACACTTCACAGCCAGGGGAATTCACGATGATAAAAGCTGAGAATTAAGCTATTTCCATTAGTCTTGCCTTTTGATTCTTTAAATTCCTAACAATTTAAATTAAAAAAAGGAATTATTTCTTAAAAGCACTAATAGTGCATAGCACTGACCTTTGAGAGTGTCGAATACTGAAGTCAAGTCCCCTCTTAGTCTCTTTTGCTCAAGGCTGAAGCTATTCGATTCTATGAGCTTGCCTTTGAATGATGGCCTTTAAAAACAAAGAATGAACTTTGTGGTTTGAACGCGGTGGTGCTTTGTTAGCTGTAGTGGTTGAGATGCAAAACACAGACCCATGGTTAAGCACTGTTAATCCTAAATGACACAAGCAGAAAAAAAAGATTTTGTCTTTTCTACAAGTACAACGTCATAATTGAATAATAGGTGTGATTATTTATCCCTTCCACAAACCTTTTTAAAACGCACCCACCAACTGGAAGGAAGAGTTACACCTATTTGGAAATGCCGATGTGTTATTTTTAGCTTAAAAAAAAGTTTACTTAAACTCACACCACACACACCTGGTGCTGGATGGGTCGCCAGTCCATCACGGGGGTCACCCCCCCAGCCCTGCTGGTCCCCCGACATACAGCTGGGGGGGCTGGAGCCACTGGGGTAGAGAGCCTGCCTCAAGGTACATCTGCAGTGTCCGCAGCAGGGACTCGAACCCACAACCTGTCTGTTATGAGTCTGTGAGGGCAAGAACAGGAATACAGCATACAGCTTCACCCCTGATGCCACGGAGATTTTGCACGTCATTGCACAGGTCCTCTAGTTCCGCAGAAGAAACAAAATGTAGGTGGGGGTGCTCTGTGTCTCTGAAACACGGAGCTTGGAAAGATCCTCCTGCAGCAGGGTCTGCATTAAAACCCCACGGGCCCAAGCTGCAGCTGTGAGTATCTGCTTTACCAAGCGTACAGAGTCACTTTCTTCCCCAGACATTCTGTTCCAAAATCAACACTGCCCTTTGTTTAAATTCATTCATTAGTTTTGGCCATTTTACAAATGCATTCAAATAAAAAAGTTTTACATTACAATTATGGTAAAATATAAAACATACGGAAATGACTTGGCAGTTCGTACTGAGACCTGGATTAATTTCAGAAGGCCATACTGGAGACAGTAGCTTTAAGCCTAAAATGCTATAGTATAACAGTAAAGGAAAGCTTCAACATTGTCTCGCAGAAAGAAATTAGTCCGGGAGAAGAAATCGTAAAGGGCACAGACATATGCGATAAGCTCAGACAGCTCCTGGCAGGAGTTCAAGTTAAATGGTTTCATCACAAGTGGCATAAAGTTAAATTACAACAGAGAGGCAAAACCCCTACTCCAGTGTTAAAGGAAATATGATTAGATACAATGGGTTAAAACATGTAAAAGAGAAGACATTGCAATGTGACATTTTCTTCAGCTGGATATTTCTTCACTGATGCTTCATCAGCCTCTAGTACAACGCCGCTTCAAATTTTAATTGAAAAACTTGTCACACATTTCAGATGGGGATTGTCGATTTATCATGCGGACCTTTAGCTTTCTGACTAATAGAACACAAAACGTGTTCTTATTAATGGATGGGCATCTGACCCTATTTCCACTTCTACCAGTTCACCCCAAGTCTGCTCTCCTCCCCTCCTTTCAATCTGTGTGCTGATGACTATCAGAGCAGCTGGTGAGAATCACAATATGATCAGGTTTGCTGATGGCAGGGTGTCAGCCACTCCTCTCTCAGAGCCTGGACAAACAAGTGGACCCATTCTGGATGAATTTGTCAACACAGAAATGATTGTTGATTTAAAAAGAACAAAGCAGGATCGTTCCCACAACAATCTATGGCGAGTCTGTTTGTGTAGTTCACAGCATCAAATATCTGGGCACTGTGTTTGACGATAAACTTCACAGAGACGTCATTGAGAATAAATCCCCGCAGTGCTCAGAAAGGGTGAGAAAACCGACTTCCTTTGGAGTCCAAAAAAACAAATTCTATCAAAATTTTGTAGCTCATCTGTGAAAAGTATTTTAACCTTTTCTTTTGTCTGTTGTTTCACATCACTTAGTCAAAAAACACTTTCAAAACGTTGTAACCCTCAGCTCAGAAATCACTGGTGAGCCCTACTGAACCGAGCCTGTTCTGCAGATGAACCTTCTTAAAATTGCACATGGCTACCTTCAAAATATACTCATATTTGTATTTTCCTTGGTATCATTGTTTTATGTGGAATGTGCTGCATGTTACAGCACTTGTCACTAAATCGCCACCCTGGGGATGAATAAAATATTTTTAATTTCATTTTTTTTTGTGCTTTTTCTTTCACGTGACGATGTGTTGTCTCTTGGTCTCGGTCACTTGCCAGTCTCAGGGGGGCGTGATTTACTTCGATTTAGGTACATTGTTCAGAGAAACTCACATCACGAGTCACACAAACTCCAAGCACCTGGGGGAAAGGGCCCAGTCAGGTTTCAGAAACCATGGCTCTGAGCTCCCTCGGGAGTCACCTGCTTGGTGAGGCACAAGCAGCGAAAACAGGTTTCAGCCGTGGTGAGGCATGGCGAAGGTCCAGTAAGAGCACAGATGAGGGAAGAGTGGGCTAACCTGCAGAACGACCAGGACCGCCTGAAGGCATCAGTGTCTTGGGTTAGGATCTGAAATTCTGCTGTCGTGCTCGTCCCCAGCTGCAGTGCGAGGTCCCTGGCAGCATCAGGCAGCCTGAGGTCTCTCGGCAAGACAAGCGCTTGACTTCTGCCTTCAACTCTCCTTTCTAACCACTGGCAAGCGTTTAACCTGTCCCTCCTGGGGGGTTACAAAGACCGCGGGAGGTGGGGGGGAGGCGGGGGTCTTTCGGGAGCCAGCGCGAAGCACGGCCAGCAGCTGATTCGTATACAGGCCACAGCACGCCCCTGGAGTGAAAGGAGTCATCCAAGGCCGTGCTGTTTCTGTCCCAGAAAAGGCATTCAACTGGTGACGATCTGCTGGGCGCTGCCCTCTTTCACAAGAGCACGGAGAGCTTTCTTCCCCCAACACATCGCCGATGGCATTCGACTCGTTTCGACCTTTAAGTCAAACGTCTCCCTCGGGCTTTGACTGAAAAAAAAAATCCCTTTTGCTGGCACCTCAGAGATAAGCCCCTTCACCTCATACAGAACACAGGGGGAATTTCCTCACACATTAACCGGATGGCCTGGGGTATCTTCACTGAGCTCCTCACTGTGCTGGTTTCTGCGTTGACTCAGCTGGAACAGGCTCTTCCCCAGGACAAGAGGAGCAGAGAACAAGCAGCTATTTAAAACGCTGCTGCCATTCAAAGCATGAACCCGCTTTCTCCAAGATCACCCTCTGCACCTGTCCAGCCTGCTTCCGAAAGAGAGAAGAGCCTGTTCCGGCAGCCAGCGCCAGTCTCTTCAGGAGGGAATGAAAGGCTGATTGAACAGCAGAGCCAGCCCGAGGAGAGCAGGTGCAGGTGGACCTAAACAGAGAGAAGGAGAGAGACTCGTTCCCACAGCGGACAGACGCTCGGCCTGGCCAGGTCCCACCAGCGCAGAAGGGGAAGATGGGTTGTGCGCTGTGCTGGGGAGGCCGCAGGAAGAATAACTGTTGACCCAGACCCGGAAGTAGTCCGAGAAAAAACCCGTAAGCTTCTGGGAGACCGATATTGGATTTGAAAATGTGGTTTTGTAATTCTGCCATGCAGAAAAATTAAAACAGCAACATTTTAAAATAATCTGTATCTTATAAGATCACTTTATTGGCCGTATACAATTTCTGGTATTAGGAATTTGTCTTTTCGCATACCCCAGCTTGCTCTCCATGAGACACACAGACAGGGAGAGAAGCTGGGGGTCAGAGCGCAGGGTCAGCCATTTATACGGCGCCCCTGGAGCAGTTGGGGTGAAGGGCCTTGCTCAGGGGCCCAACAGTAGGATTCGTCTGCCAGCTGTGGGATACGAACCGGCAACCTCCCAGCCACAGGCGCAGATCCTGAGCCACAGAGCCACTGCTCCATCTTTTATTAGGCATTCTGCAAAGAAGAGAAAGATTGATAAAAAAAATTAGCAGAAAGTCACATAGACATAGTGACTCATTTTGGATTTTTTTTGTCGCCGGTAGTAGAAGCTCTCGTAGAGAGGGATGATTCAAGAGAGAAGTCCAAGAACTGCCAGGGCGCTGGTTTTGGGGATCAGTTCACCAGAGGAGAGCACAAACTACAAACAAATCCTCTGTTGGTAAAAAGTTAGTGAAAGCGCTGTGCCGCAGAACAAGTCCCAAAGCTTACTGACCATTTCGCTTCCTATTCTGCTCCGTTTATTGACATTTTTGTTTTCCTTGCTCTTTCTTTGAAAATAAAAAAAAAACTTTCAATACTCAATAGGCCTCCTTCACCGAAACTGTTACGAAATTCTTTCTCTGGCGCCCCCCTGTGTTAGGAACGGTGACCCCCCTCAACATTGAACCTTAAAGACTGGAACCCGTATGAAGCGCTGCGATGTTACCGTTTTATATCACTTTCCATGACCAAGCCAGGACTCCCAGAATGCGATTGATAGAATTTCGAAATCAACTATTACAAGTATCACAGATGTCATTCGGGGTCACGTATAGGATGCCCTAAACGTTAAACACAGTTCGTATGTTGTACGTGGGATGAAAATCGCCATCGACGACTTCTGTCGCGCTTCCCGCTTGAGAAACAGTCACAACAAAAACACGACTGCAAGAAGTGAACATCACCGACCAGGCCAATACGTCCACTTTCGGAAGCAAGAGACGTTGTTAGATACAAAACAAAAGGTTTGCTGTGTGTGTGTTCCAGTATAATCAGGATCTATGTGAACTGTTTTTCGGTCTGGTAAAAGAATTTCGCCTTTGACCTTTAGGAAAGGTCACAGGGAAAATCCTCTTAGGGGACCTTATTGATTCACATAGATCATTAGGAAAGGTCACAGGTCACAGGTCACGGGCAAGGTCATTTTTTGATTGAGCACATGGTAACTCCTATTTGTCTTCTATAGGGACTATGACCCCGTCTGTGCTCCTTATGGAGTTAGAGGTTAGGTCCTGATTGGACCAGTTAGATGTGTCAAAGGTCGAACCGGGCTAATGATGTCATGCGACCAATAAACTGTATTAAGACGTGGACAATAATTCTCATGTGCTACTGTTCTTCTGTGATTGTGCTCAAGCTTACAACACTCAAATAAACCTACTGTATATGTCACAAGAAAGGCTCCTGAAATTCAATTTTCAGGGCCTGGCAGCCGAATGTGTCATCATTGCCACCTGTTGGGATAAATAGTGGGAGTAAATGGATTCTTGTTTTCATACATCACAGCTCATTCCAATTGGCCAAGAGCATTCATCAGACAGCATCACATGATTTTTTAATATAAATTCAATGTAGTGGCCAAGCAATGTGACCAATCCATCTGTCTTGAATAAATCTAAATCATGAACATGAACATGTAGTGCTGTTCACTGAGTTTCAGAGCTATGAGACATTCCTGGACGCTTGCTTTGGGTAGCCATATCAAGTTAATTCCCACAAGCCTCTCCCTTGTGGAAGATGTTATGGCTCCCTTTAGGTGGGACCTGTTAGACTACATGCTATTTCCAGAGTCTGACAGAGATACAGTGCGATACATGCACATGACCTACACACTCAAGTTCATTGGTCCACGGTGTAAATGCTTTTTCAGACAAATCCAAGATGGAGTCCAATGCACACGACCCTTCACCTTGAACCGAACATGTGGTTTTCTCTTGGACATAGCGTGATATGAGCCGCCATGTCCCACACCTCTGCAGTATGCAGTTTCTGAGACGAGCTTTCACAAATACCGAATTATGTCGAGAATCCAACATGGCACCTGAAACGTGATCTGCTGGCTGCCAGAAACGTCTGCTCCGAGTCAGCTTTTTCAGGCTTTGTTTTGCAATCCTGACCACTTTCACGAGTTTTCATTTGGTGTAGGATTTCCCTGCATTTGAAAATAATTTAAGAAGAAGGATTTAAGTATTAATCTAAACAACAATAGGGTTGTTTTTCCACCCCCTAATAAAACTTAACCAAAACTGAATCACTAGTAGTTAACTCCTAGATATTAATATCAAATTTTGAAACTCTTCTGGGCATGTTAGACAACTGTTGTTTACAGTGAAACTCAAATGACAAATTTTGTTCCAGCGCTGGATGGTGGCCAGTTGCTCACTAGGCCAGTGATTTGTGATAAGCAGGTGGGCCCGTTCTGATTGCTCCCATGATAAGGTCATGTGAGACCGTAATTCACAGAGCTCGTTAAAAGACACTGTCATTACAGGCACCCAGCTCCAGCCAGCCAGATGAGGGATCGATTTTCTGAGCACAAGGGAATAATGGATTCGCTTCTGCAGCGACAGGTTTGTAACTGCAGGGAAACTTCAGCTATTCCACTGCGTCGAGTCCCACATGCTTGTCCTGCTCCCAGACAGAGCAATCACCCTGCCAGTCCTCTCAGTGTCTGGGCCGGGCGAGGTTTCGCATTTTGAGTCAAATTAAGCCGCAGGCTCTACTCCTGGTGGTGTCCTTCCGTCAGATCCTTTGTAACTATCCTCCCCCCGGAACCCAGAGACCTTGGTTTCCCAGACGCTGCGCAGCGGGTCGTGGGAATAACACCGCTGGATCGCTAGTTGGCATCGTTTACGATACAACATTATCTGATCGTCTTTTTTCGTTCTTGATTAATGAAGACATTCTTGGCCAATGCAGAATTTCACCATGGGCAGTGACACAGGGAAATCTCCTGTCACCCTCTCAGGCAGCGTCCAGATCAGACTGAGAACAGCCTCAAGGGTGCAATCTCCACAGCAGCTCCAGAGCCATCAGGCTGAGACCAAGACATCTGCCAGTACAGACATCGCCCCGTCTCTCCTCCAGAGCCCCAAATAACCTGACTGCTGTTCACCACCTGTTTCAGCTCCGTTTTCCAGGCTGATGTTGTCTTTCACTACAGAAGCAAAAGGAAAACGAGCCCTGCTATTTGACTTCCATGAGCTTGGTTTGCTCAGGCTGTGAGGTGATGTCTGTAATTCCACCTCCCATTCATTTGCTACTTTTTAAACTACAAAATACAGATCTTCTTTAGCTTGCATTTAGAAGGAAAAACACTTTCTGAAAAGAGTGGACGAATGCCAATGTCTGAGGCACTGCAATGTGTTTACATACTGTCTATATCTTTGATGTGCATTTCCTGGGCACCTCTAATGCCTACAGGCAAGGGAACTGTGCTTCTTGTGGGCTGAGATTTATTCATGCAATGAGCGTATTTCCCACCTACCTCCTAACACCTACACACAAGCACGCAGCAGCTCCGTTCAGAAGACAAATTGCAGCTGGCAGATAGCTGCCCTGTCTCCATGGTAGTCAGAGGCAGCTTAGCCCAGTGTGCGTCTGTGTCTCTGCTGCCCCCATGATGTGTCAGAGAGGTAATTCCCAGGAGTGATAAATACTTCTACATTCCATGAGTACATTTAATTGTGCATCCCATCTCTAAGTCTGTAATCCCCCTAAACACACTTTATGAGCCAGTTCAGATCTGTGGTATTTAAGATCACGGGCCATTTTCAGGGGTCGATAAAGTTATCCCCTGAATGGTGAATTCAGAAGAAATATCTGAGTCTTTAACTTTTTTGTTGTATGTGCTGGTTGTTGACAACAGCAAATCTGGCGGAAAAGAAACATCATCTCCAGCACAATGTTTGATAACATGGCTTCAAATACTGTCTCTATAATAACTATCCTTCAGAGGCAGGCAATGCTGCACGGTAACGTCTTTGAACTCCAAAGCAATTCAGCATGCAAACTAATCAAATGCTGTCAATGAAAGCAGTCACAAAAATACCTCAATTGTAGTTATCACTGCTAGGAAACCATGTACCTCTAATGCACATTTTTGCCAGGTTTGCTAAGTGGAGCATAAATGTGAAGGAAAAATTATCCTGCCAGAAGCACCTATTACATTCCAATGGTGAGGAACTATAGTGTCTTCTATAATGATACAAAGGGCCTACAAAAACTGTATTGAATTGATATTCAGCAAGATGTTGTGAAAGGGTTTTTATTCTGCATTTAAAACTGCCCTGCGCTGGTGAGCAAGCGTGTTGCATGAGCAGGAGCCTCATGGTCCGCGTGGGAGGACTTTCCCTGAGCCCACGCACTGCGGGAAGGCTTCCTCTGCAGGGGAAGGAAACCGAGAGCTGCAGGAAAGACGAGTGCGAGACCCCGAGCAGAGCTCTGGGATTCTGGGACGCCGAGTTGGCCTGGCTGTTAGCAGAAGTGAGAATTCTGGCTTTTTAATTTACTTCAATTAGTGCTGATGAAGCCTGATGTGGACTGTTAAATGTATTGTGTTGTGTCTTCTACCTGCCTGCAAAGAAAGTTTCCCTCCTGCGACAACAACAGGAAGCAAGTACTTGTATACAGGGATCTCCTCCTGTATGTGTGCAATACCTCGGAAAAGACATTAAAATGATCCTCTGACCATTTCATAACTAAAGATCTGATTCGCAAAAGCACTGGCTCTGTTTGCAAGAGATGTTTACAAAAGAAACCACAAAAAACAGTAAAAGGTGTTAACCAACTTTACTGATCTTTCATAAACAGTAAAAATTAAAGTTCCATGACAATACGCATTAAATATATCTGTGGATTACGGCAGCTGCATTGAACATCCACAAAAAATAGCTTTCAGTTAAGGACCAGAACATCTTTGGTGTACAAAAACAGAGGTCCCCACCCCGCGACACAAAGCCCATCTGGACAGCACAGCGCACGCTGATGGAATGTTAATGAGGGTTGCTGGTGGGTGGGTGGGTGTGTGTGTGTGTGTGTGTGTGTGTGTGTGTGTGTGTGTGTGTGAACTCCCGCGCACACGCGCACAGATCTGAGCGCTGCGTGTTGATGAACGCGCTGGCGCCACGTTCACACCGCTGGCAGGTCCGGCTCTGGGGACGGGGGGGGGCGCGGCCTCACATGAGGGAGCACTTCCCCTTCAGCCGGTCGGAGCTCTTCAGCCTCCTCGCCTTCTTCCCGTCCACCTGCAGGGTCACTGTCCGCCGCTTCTCCAGGTTCAGCAGCTCCTGGAAGAGCTCCTGCACGTTGTAGTTCATTTTGGCGGAGGTCTCCATGAAGGAGCACCCCCACTGCGCCGCCAGGGCCTCCCCGTCGCCGGCCTGGAGCTCCCTCTGCGTCTCGTCGCTCTTGTTGCCCACCAGCATGATGGGGGCGGTCTGGGCGTCGCCCTTGATGTGGCGGATCTGCTGGTAGATGGGCTGCAGCTCGGCCAGCGACTGGCGGCTGGTGACGGAGTAGACCAGGATGAAGGCGTGGCCCTTGGAGATGGAGAGGCGCTGCATGGCGGGGAACTGGTGGCTGCCCGTGGTGTCGGTGATCTGCAGGGTGCACACGTTCCTGTCGCAGCTGATCACCTGCCGGTAGGTGTCCTCCACGGTGGGGATGTAGGTGTCCCGGAAGGTGCCGCGGACAAACCGCTGCACCAGCGAGCTCTTGCCCACCCCGGCGGCGCCGAACACCACCACCCGGTAGTCGCTGCTCTGCTCCGGCATGGCGCCTCCTGCTCCCCCGGCCGGCGGTCTCGGGGGTCTGGCGCGGGAGAAGACGGCCGAGACGCTCGTCGACGGCGGGTGGGCGCGGCCGAGTCTCGGAGCTCACATGCCCAGCGGACCTGTGCGGGAAAACCAGAGGCGGGAGTCGGGTCAGAGGCGCGGGGGAACAGCCCGTTCGGCCACACCCCCGCGCAGGACAGGGACGACACGCACTCGTCCTGATCGGGACAAGCGGCCGGCTTCCAGGGCAGCAGGGAACCGTGGGAGCTCAGGCGGCAAGGGCGTCTGGCTCCTGACCGGAAGCCCCCGGGTTCAATCCCAGGCAGGGGCGAGCGATGGAGCTCTGCTTCCTTCCAGACGGCTCCCAGGCCCCCTCAGTACCGGGGGTGAATCCTTCTGGGGATAACAGGCCGGCCGGAGCGTGGTGCTGATCTCATCACCTCCACCTCCAGTGACAGATGGTTGAGAAAAAGTGTGGCCCTTTCCCCCAGGGGCCTTTAGGTCCTGAGAAGGGACCTACCTACAGTGTAGTAGAAGAACACTGAAGGAGTGAAGCTTCTTACAGTAAAAACAAATCCAAATAAACTCGGGATTTAAACTTAGCAACGAACATGCCTCGACTGCTAGTTTCTTATGCTCGTTTTAATGTGGAAAATGTGAAGCTCTATCGATGGTTTTCGCAGGGGGAAAAACGAACCTGGCTGAAGAATATCGATCAAGCAGCCTCTGTCCATCGCAATGCAATTCACCTCACACCGCTCTGAAAAGGCCCCTCTGGAAGGATTGTGCCGGACTGAAACTGCGAAAAAACGCCCCTGTAACACCTACCTCGCTCGAGTGTTTAATCACGGTGACACAGGCGACTCTATGTGCGATTGAACATGGTGATATCCCCAGGCGATTTGCGTCTTTCAAGAGCTAGAACTGACATCAGGCTTGTTCAGCCTGTACTCTGCGACCTGCGAGATGACGCCTCCTTTGCATCTGGAACTAAAGGGGATTGTCTCGCATCATCAGGAGCTGGATTTCGGTCAAAGGCAATTTTAAAGCCTCTTCACCTCCTTTGAAAATGTTGTCTGCCACAGGGGAAATCTTCCCCCGTGGCTAAAACGTGTTTGATGTTTGTTTTTAACGAATTTCCGACAACGCAATGCCACCCTTTGGGAGTGAAATATGTAATTCAGCTTCATAAAAAAAAAAATCAGCGACGGCAGAGTTATCATGTAGTTGAATCATACAGGTCGTTATGGTACACAGAGCAACAGGTAACGGGTTTCTACGGCTGTCGAGTGCGAGCACACAACGGTTTCTACAAAACGCATCACGAAAGCGAGCGGAGCTGACGTCTCCACCAGCTACCCCGCTGGACCTGAAAGAAGGACAGAAAAGAAAAAACCCTCGAGAACGCTGCCACGGACGAGCGCAGACACTCCCTGCGAACGACAAAACGGCTATCGATCGCTTCTAATGATCCATGGGCTCCTGGGCTGCAAGACGGGGCGCGCTCCCAGCCGGCCCGGCTCTTTCACACACAGAGCTACTGGGTCAGCTCCGGGCAAACCCACCTACCTGCGCGCAGCTCGCTGCCCGTGCCCGCCCGCCGTGTTGTAAATAGAAATTCCGCTGCCGTACAGTCACGCATATGAAATCCTCCGGTGGGTAAAGACCACTCTGGCGACGGAGGGGGTCAGGCTTTGGGAAACTGGACCCCGCTCCCGCCGCCGCCAGCTCCACACTAGTCGCTCAGGGGGGGTGTCCGCTTGCGTCCTGCGAGCGCCCACCTTGTGAACAGAGCAGTGCCGCGTCCCGGGGGTAGCGCGGTGTTGGCGCCGGCGACAGTACAGGTGAGACCCCTCCTGTTCATTCATGTCTCCGGTGCATGGTCCAGCCCATTCATGAGGCTGTGGAAGTCGCCGGTCGGAAGCTGAGCTGCATGTTTTACTGAAACACATCCTACAGTATGTCCTTAAAAACAGCCCTTCGATTTTATTTTTCTGATTTATTTGGATTTTTGGATAACGCATTAAATATTACCCAGTCTCTCAGCCTACACATAGGATTTAAATCGCGGGGGACACGCTTGAGTATTCTCCCGGTTTCTTGAAACACCCTGTATTAAGTTTACGTGTATAAAATGAATAATACCCAAACGATTCTGTCTGTGTGAAAGCGGATCACAAAGCCAGCTCCTTGCGCGCTTGCATAAGGATTGCTGTCATCACGGTGCTGTTCACAACATGAAACTGGCACTATTCAAAACCTAAATAAAACCAACCACCTGTGTCTCAGTACTTCTATAAATATGAATCAAGTGCCATATTTTGTGTTGATTGTGATTGAGTCTTACCTGGGAGACTAAGCATATCCTAAGCATGTAGCTAAAAGTAGAGGTATTATATTTAAACAACTGGGCGAAACAACTCGATTGACGTTATTGTTAATAATAACAGCATTCTAAGCACAGGTATACGCGTCAGAGCAGCAATCTATTCCACTATCATACCGGGTTTCAAGTTATTCCATCACAGAAACGGAATCGGATCAGTTTTTCTTGATCACTCGCACTTGCGTCATCGATTTCGAAGGAACACTAATTTTCCAATCAGACGCTGCAGCGCTGCTGTTGGAACGCGGACACCTGTGTAAGATCACGTCACTTTAGTGGCCACATGCAACGTCTTGTATTAGGAATTTTATCTTTTCGCCCCGATGCATTTGTCTTATATCTCCAGCTCCCTACGGCGTTTAAAGTTCCGTTTACATGGCCGCCGTCGAGCTCATTAAATTATGCGAGAACGCAGGTAAATAAAAGTCAAAGGATATAAAACAGCCAACAGACCTCCCCGATGGTCGCTTCCAGGACTGGATCTTCCCGGGACGGGGAGCAGCGCGTGTCCGCGTCTCGAGGGCTGAGCTGAGCTGAGCTGAGCTGAGCGGGAGCGGGAGTGGGAGTGGGCCAGCGCGAGAGGAGAGGCGGTCAGTCTCTCCCGAGCAAAACACCCAACTCGCAGCGAAAGGCCGGGGCGCCGGCTGGGACGCACTTAAAAACACGCCAAATTACATCATGTGGTTCGCCATTAGCCGGACGCGTTCTCATTCATACTTCGCAACACGTACAAACGTCAGCATGTTCAAGGTTTGGGCTGGTGCGCAGCTGTATCTCACACAGTACTGTATATCCATTGCTTGACGTTCAATGAGGGGGATATAATCAAGCCGTGCTTTATGGGATTTGTCATTTATTAAGGAATTTAAATAATGTAAAGGGTGATTTAAGAGCCAAGAAAGATCACAAGAGAAGCCGTTAGATAAACGCTGTCTGTTGCCGTTTTAATCCCAAAGGTACTGTGAAAAACCTCTTTTTTTGACCAGAGCAATATAATAAGATTTCTGGCATTGACAGAGGTACAATAGCACTTATCACTGATGAGCAGGGGTGCAAGAAGGATGAGGAGAGAGAGAAAACGAGCTGTTTTAATGGCGTAACCAGTAGTGGTTTGCTGTGTCAACTAGAGGTTCTTTAATTTCAAGACGAATTGACAACGACAGTGGATTTGATTACTGTTTGCCTTTCCTGTGGAGGGGAAGGACTCCGGTGGTGGGAGGGAGATCCCTGTCGTTTATTACCGCAGATGAGTCGTGGGAGTTTGGTCACGACGAGTTTGCGAGTGGGGCCGCGGTGCGGGCAGGCGGGCCTGAAGAGATGATCGTTCTTGCTGTTGACTGCAGTGTGAAAGGGCACGGATATTGTTCACAGCACACACACAGACACAACACGGAAATGCCAAAAAATCTAGCATTGGCGGCAGGTCCTGCAGCACAGTGCCACATAACGGGCTCCAGAGAGGGAGGCTGTTCATTTGCTTGTGCTTTTTTTAAAATTTATTTTTAGTTGTTACCCCAGTGTCCCGGCCAAATACCTCCCTGGCCGTTACCCATCATGGCCTCCTTATAACCCCCCTCTTGAACTGGCTTCATCACTCTGCTCTCCTCCGCACTGAGAGCTGGTGTGTGGGGAGCGGACTGGAGCATCGTCTGGGTCGGGGTGGAGGGGATCCCCATTACCTGTGAAGCACTGGAGTGTCCGGAACAGCCCTACAAAAGTGTAAGGAAATTATTATTATTATAATCGTTGTTAGTAAATGAGCAGAATGCAGCCGGCGGCGTCCTCTCAGCCAGTGGGTGTCTTAGGTGCAGAAGCTGTTTCCTTAAGCCATCTAGACCGGGACCGGGACGATGAAGGGGACCGAGGGGAGTGCAGAGAGAGGCTGAGGCCGCCTAGTGGTCACACCGGGCAGTCTGGGGTGGAGCTGTAACCCGGGAGCACCACTGTCCCTGAAGCTCTGCGATCCACCAGGAGCACAACGCGAGTGGGAGGGTGTCTGATGAGAGCACACTGTGTCTAGGCCCCCGTCTCATGCACGACTGGGTCCTTTGAGCTGGCTCTCTCACGGCTGCAAAACCACGATGTAAAAAGCAAGCTGCGCTAACGTTTTTATAACACGGCCTGGGACGACAAACTCTCCTTGATTGAACACATCGTGACTTGGGGTCGCAGGCAGACACCACAGCTTCCACTGGGAATGAGGCTCTGTAGTGAGGCTGGGTAATTCTGTGGTCAGGTTTGTGGGTGCGTGTGCCCTGCGAAGTTCTGGCATCCCATACAGGTTGTATCCCACCTTGCTCCAGGTGCTGCTGGGACAGACTCTGGCTGCCCCAGGAACATGGATGGGTGGATAATAATAATAATAATAATAATTATAATAATATCACTTTATTAACCCTTTACAATTTCTTGCATTAGGAATGGTCTTTTCACATACCCCAGCTTGCTCTCCATGAGACACACAGACAGGGAGAGAGCCTGGGGTCAGAGCGCAGGGTCAGCCATTGTACAGCGCCCCTGGAGCAGCTGGGGTGAAGGGCCTTGCTCAGGAGCCCAACTGGAGTAGGATTCCTCTGCCGGCTGTGGGATTTGAACCAGCAACCTTCCAGCCACAGGCGCAGATCCTTAGCCACAGAGCCACTGCCCCGCCAAATGCCCCACCCTACATCCCTTCACACTGCAGAAGTGTGCTCCATAGAAATTCCCCCTTTAACCTAAGTAGTGTCTTCATTGTCATCGGCAAGGACCCTTTCACCATCCCCGAGAACAACAAGTGGCTCTATAGGGTTTATTCCTCACAAGTACGAGCATTTTAAAGTGAGAAGTAAGAGGTTGTTTTCGGGATTAGTCGCTTTACCTAATACTGTTAGATCGCAGAACCTGTGCTGACAAACACAAAAATCCACCCAGGAAATATTTGCTTTTAGATTTAGGATAGTACATGTGGTGCATTAGAGGGAAAAAAAACCTTAAAAACCAGATGAAGTATTTTAAAAGGATACAGAATATTTCAAGTGCTGACAAGACACATATTCAGCTTCTTCCTAATGGATTAGATGGGTTTTGCTGCCATACTACAAATTCAGTGCATCGTTCAATGATGCATAAATAAACTCCAAAGCCTTGAAGCTTTTAAGTTTTAATTAAACCCAAAGCCTGCAAACATGTCCTTGATTTTGAAGAGACTAAAAGCCCTTCCATTGTTCAGAAATTCATTTGCAAGTATCTGATGGCCAGTCAGTTATGTAAGCACAGTGCTGAAGTTTAAGTCTAGATTTCTAGCTAAAAAAACAGGATGACTTCCTCAGAAATTAACCAGAGGTATTCTGTGATAAAGTTTGTTGAAAGACTGAAGATACTCCATTTCTTTAAGGTTAGTTTTTGGTAGAGCAACAAAAAAAAAAAAAGAAAAATCCCAACTAGGTCTTCCTCAAGGTGCAGAAGCGCAGCTTCATTTCACTTCATAAACGTGTAGCTAAAAACTATATTGATTGAGCAAGAGTAACTATTCTGATCAAGATTTGCTACTGCATGATCTTAAATCAGCAGAAAAATGCAGTGAATGCTTTATCACAAGCAATCATCCCCAAGTGCAAAATAAAAAACAAAACATTGGGTGATAATGGGAATGAAGCAGATTCCCTCCGATCACCTCGATTGATCCTTCAATGTAATCCTAAATGAGGTGGAATAACACAGTGACACGCTTACAGCCTACCAGAGGCCCATCCAGAGGGAGGGGAGAGGGCGGTATTGTCCAGACAGGTGTTTGCAGATAGGCTACCGTAGATTAAGGAAACGGTCCCTGTTCTGCTTAGCTTCCTGTCTGAAGTCAGGAGGAAAATACACCTCGGGCACCACAGCGCCTTGGGTCTGCTCCCTCCCAGCAGTAAGGCACGAGACGCACTGGTATTGGTCTGGGGCTGAGATCCCTTTCGTACGACAGTGGTCTTCAAAAAAAAATGTTCTATATAGCTGTTCCAGATGTAGATGGTGGCAGGTGTCAATAATCAAACAGCACCTCCGGTCTACCATCCATCATCCAGACAGTGGAGTGGAGACGGGAATGGAGGTTTAGGGGAGATGGAGCCGAAGGACTTGGTAGGACAGGTAAGCAATTATATACTGCTAACAGAAGAGCTTAAATACAAATCCTGACATAAAAACAAACATCTCTGCAACATTAAGAGTCCTGAAGTCAACACTTATGAAGTTAAAATCCTTGGGTAACATATCTTTAGCGTAAGTATTGCTACTGCTTTATCTTTAAGATGATCGCATGGAACCAATCTGGAATAAAGAACCTATTAAATATTTTATTCAATACCGTTTGAATGTTTGGGCCATAAAGCTGAAGGTAATGCTTTATTTGTCCACAGGATGTCAGTATTGCACCGTACAGTCTGTAGGTGCAGCTGAAGACAAGCATGTGCCAATGCAGCCAGAGCAGTAGTGGCGTTCCTGATGTCCACAGAGGAACACCGGCTGCACTGGTTTTCACCTGCCTGAGCGGAGAAGTAACTGGACAGTTCGATGAAAAAATGCTGGAAAAATGAAAACGAGCAGAGCACACTCTACAGGCTGTATAACAGGGCCCGAGATTCACAGACCAGAAACCACAAAACCAGCTCCAAGCTCAGCTAAAGGTGATTAGAGACTGAACAGAACACTGCACTGCAGTCTTCACACGATAGCACAGAACAATAGTCCCAGCATAAAACAATCCGCAAGTAAAAAAAAAATGTTTTAAGTCTCTACTAGATGTTGATTCCACAAACAAGTGCAGTGAAGACAGTCTTGCACTGTGCAGGGTCTGGTCACTGCAGCAGGAGTTTTCCTGCTTCATGGGGATTTCAATTTGTTCCAGTGATCGATTACATATGCAGTCAGAACTCCACAAGCAACACACACCCCTGCTCTTGTTTAAGGCCTTCCTCATCACCACCGTGCCAATTTAACCACTGCCCATGCTGGGTGTTTTTTTTACCTCTACAAATTACAAAGATGTTAAAAAACATGCTCGTGCTAAAAAGCAATATACAAAAAAAGTAAAAAAAAAAAACCCATAAGTCAAGAGCCCTATTGAAAATCACGTCCAGTCTTCAAGAAGAAACACCATGTGCACTTCTTTCTCCACAAGGCTGGCAGAACAGGTGCCAAGGGTTTTTATCAAGAACACAGTAAACGGATCAAAAAAGGAAGGATAGACCACAGCAAGACTCCCGCCCAGCCACTTGGAAGTGACCAGCCCAGTCATTCCTGTTGGTCATGCAGGACACAGATGTAAGAGGCCACCAAATCCAAGGTTTGTTATGTGTGGTGGGAGTTTAAACTGGGCCTGCAGTCACAGCAAAGCTGCTGTTAAATTCCCCCCTTTTCAGACAGATGAATCCACGAACAAGAGTCAAGACTTCACACTTGGGCACAGAAAGAGCACAGAATTCCCCATCCAGTAGAAGTATTTTATTTAAATTAGCATAAAAGGCAAATCTACAATCCCACTTGTGTAACACAGATCAACTCTTTCTGCCAGCCATCCACACAGATCTTCAAGCTGAAGATCGGCGATGCCTGGCCTCGCGCCTTAACGCAAACCTGCCCTACATGTACAAACCAGCACAGGATAGAAAAGAAATATATCTACATCGTAACACGTTGAGCTTAATGTGCACTGTACAAAAACCTACAGGCCCTCCAGTCGCCTGCCTCAGCCCATTGTCAAAGTGTCTCACCCCTGAAGAGAAGTATGTGGAAGACGGTTAAGGAACTCAGTAGTACAACATCCCCTTAAGCATTTATAAATTGCTTGTAAATTCCTAAACACAGGAGTAAAAGGACTTCAAAAGTGGGCCGGAGTGTTCCTAACACTGGTATCATTGGGGTGCCACTTAAATGCAATAATATATTGGAGTGTGGATAAGAAATAAAATGCATGCCATGATGTAAAAACAAATTCTCACACTTTTGAGATATGTAAAATAATACACAGAAAATTCCTTTTTTTTTTGGATCGTATTCTTCTACACACCTATTATACAACTTTAAATGCGTGTGCTCTATTTTTATTGGAGTATGGATAAAAACTCCAAAACTGTTGGCAAAATGTACATGAATCCAACAGAAAAATCTTTGTTCCCTATATATATATACAAAAGATTTTCAAGAATGTTGTGAAACATGTAATACATGTTAGTGTTTTTATGCACAGAACCAATAACCTTTGTACCTTTAGCACACTTACTGTTGTATGATTAGAAGATAAACCTGGACTTTCAGTCACCACCAGGCACTTCGAGTCTTCCAAACCCCAGGAGCTGATCGAAGAGAAAAGCCTTTCCTTTCTCTGCCCTTTTCACTTCCACAACTTTAGTTTTCCGTCCACAAGATGGCGCACTCCCACCACTGCGACACACAGATGCCCTCTCCTGCACCCTTTCTTTAAACTGCTCAGTTTACATGGGGATTTCTGCAGGGCTGCCACATCAGAGAGAGCAGTAAGTACTGGCTTTGCAGAAGGAAATAATTACAGAGCAAGTGTCACCACTGCGTGTCGATGGGCGTTGTGCATGCGTGTTTGTGTCATTCCTGAAAACCAGCGTCATGTAAATACGTCTTTGCGAGTGGGGAG